TCTTTCATGTTTGGTGATTATTAAATCATTTGTTCATGAGGATAATTCAAGCAACTTTTGTGTCCAAGATAATCCTGTTGAGCTGTGCATGGAATTCAGTTGATAGTTAGTTATTGAATTTACCATAGTTGGGTTTTGTGGTAGAAGTGCAGAATTTTTTTTAGTTTGGAATTTTGATGAAGAATTTTGGTTGGTATTTTTATTGAAGAGTTAAGTCATATTTCCTGTAGAGAAATTTGTCTCCAAGTGGAGAATTTTTGAAATTTTGTTTATTGCAGTGGAATTTGTGTCAAAATAAATTGGTTAGAATTAGGATGTGACTCGAATTCTTTTTGGAATCCTATTCGAACTCTATTTGAAAATTCTGGTTGAAATTTGATTTAGGAGTTCAATTGAGAGTTTTGAATTTGTGTTGGACTTAAAAATGTTAAGATATGGACTAGGGAAAAAATTTTGGTACTTTCCCACTAGTTGGCCAATAGCCTCCTGCTCGAGCATGTAAAGCAAGGAGTTGGTGCAAGCCTACTGCTTAAGTGGCGGAGTTGTTGCTCGACTGGCACTAGCCTGCTGCTTGAGCGACGGTGTCGTCCAGCCCAATCCCGTTTCACATTTTTTATGCATTTTCAGTATTTTTTTCTATCTATAACTCTATTTCTAGGGTTTGAAATGTTCTCTATATATAGTTAGTGTTGCCAATTTTGTTTTCGTAAGTGTACGGATCATAACAAATAGTAAGTGGACCTAAGAGTCCGAATTGTCGATTCCACGAGTAATATATTCTAACACCTAATTCAATTTTTCTTTAACCACTATTTGATGAGATAAAAAATTGTAGGATTTGAGTTTTTATCTAAAATGCTAAAAAAAATAAATGGATGCCCGAACGATTAGTTTGAAAATCAAATAATAACGGATTTTAGGGCTGAATAATTTCATCTCTTCGTCACCTTTATATCTTAAATTAAGATTCACATCTACGATAGTGTTTGGTCGAATTCTCTTGTTCAATTCAACTTACCCCTCTCGAATTCTCATCGAACCTATTTAACTAGTTCAATTACATATCTTATGTAAATTTAACTTAGTTAAATGAGTTTCTTATCCTAGAAATTCAATTATGATTACAATAATTAGTATATGTATCTCTACTCATTATACCAATTTACTGAATTTTACTCTATGATCTAAATCCTAAACTCATATCTCTATTCGTAAAGGAATTACAAAAATCATCAAATTAGTAATCAAGTAATTTAAAGCATTCAATCCATAGTAAAATCCACATGGAGCAATAAAATTCAAGAATCTTAATAAAAAAATATATAAAGAATCCCAATTGGTTAAATTATTCGCCCTAACGATAAATTTAGCTATTCACAATGAAAAAGGAAAAATATATATTGTCATGGAATACATCACCGGATTTTGTATTAAAGGTGTAGAAGAAAAAGTAGATCTTACACCAAGAATTTTTTCCTCTTCCAATCAATTCTCTACACAGTGAATTTCTCAATGCTTTCTTCATTGAATTCCTCCTTTGAATCTCCAATTGTGTTTTTTTTGCCTCTCAATGCGTGAATCCCTCCAAAAGCATGAGACAATTTTATTTATGTAGTTGGTGAGTTTTGATTTTTGTTGCATCATCTATTGATAATCAAATCTGTAAAGTATAATATACATGTAGCACAATAGTTATTAAAATACCTAACTTCTTTGCTAAATTAAAACTATCACGTGAAGCCAAAAAATCAAAAAGTAATTTAATGAATGCGCAGCTTAGTAACAATACAATAGATGACAATTGGCCAAGTATAATTCGAACATCATCATTGTAAGCTAAAGAGTGAAATTTTGTTTGGCAATGTAAGTATTTTGCCACGAACTAGCTTTCAACAAAATTTTGTTTTAATTCAAAGGTAAAATTTTCTCTTCTTTATTCTCATATCTACAATATATTAAAAGTGGGGATGGTGGAAAAACTTTTAAATACCAAATTTACCCTACTTATTCAACTATATGCTCACTATACCCTCATAATTGGAATACCAATTTAATTAGTATTTATCATTTGGTTTAGAATTAATATTATATGAAGAGTGAAATATTTAATTGATACTTATAGTTTTTGGATTGGAATTAATATAAAGAGTGAAACTACCATTCAATTATATATATAAAAATAAATAAATAAATAAAACCACTGACTTACCATTCAATTGACCATTATGTTCTTACAATTTTTATTTTCCACCAACGAATTAATTTTTATTCTTCATCAACAAAGCTCTTATTAATCTTCAAGATTTACATTATAATTCATGCAATGAGTTTTATTTTTCATTAACAGAGCAATTTTTAATCTTCATGCTTTACATTATAATTCATCCACCAAGTTATTATTTAATTGATGTTACAAATATTTTAAAGGTTGCATTAATATATTAATGAGGACATTAAATGAATAAAAAAGAAATTACACATGAAAATTCAATGCCTAACATTCAATTGATTTTTTATTTCTTTATAATTTTTAATTTTTATCAACAAAGCCCTTATTACCAATTTAATTAATATTTATCATTTGATTTAAAATTACTATAAGTGGTGAAATATTTGATTGATATTTATCGTTTGGATTGAAATTAATATAAGGAGTGAAACGAACGTTCAATTATTAAAAAAAAAAAAATCAAAGAAAATTTAGTGACTTATCATTCTATTGAGTATTTTGTTAGAATTTTTATTTTCCATCAGCAAAGCAAATTTTTATTTTTCATCAACAAAACTCTTATTAATTTTCATGATTTACATTATAATTCATCCATTGAGTTTTTATTTTTATTAACAAAGCAATTTTTATTTTTCATCAACAAAGCCCTTATTAATCTTCATGATTTACATTATAATCCATCAATTATGTTATTATTTAATTGATGTTACAAAATTAAAAGGTTGCATTAATGTATTAATAAGATAACAAATGTGCTTAGGGTTGCATTAATATATTAATTGGGGCATTCGATTACTAAAAAAAAATATTGTGTACAAAGAAGTATTATTGTAATCATATCATTACATTTTAGTTTATTTAACATTTTCACATTATATACATAATTTCATAAATAAATAAATACACACACACACAGAGGCACACGCGCGCGCACGCGATTGTAATTTTCCCTTTAACAATATCAATTACCTCTATTATTTTAAAAAGATGGTATTAGTAATTCAAAAATAGTACGTATATCATTCATCGATACATAAGATGTGCAACACACGTGCTTATTACTAGTTACTGTGAAAATTACAGCAATAGCGATTGTGCTAATGGTGGTGGTGCAAGTAGGGTGTGTTCTTCGATTCCATGGTCTATTCACAAGAGGAGTTGACCATACCTTTCTTCCAAGCTGCCTAAATCCAATCGTAGGCAAGTAAAATGCATCTCATCCGATCTCGAGCTTTGCCAATACCACTAATGATGCATCCTACTATTGCAGTGATTTTATCCCAAAGTTTGCACATTTAGTAATCGACAACCCGAATTAGCTTCAGTAATAAAGTCTTCATCATACAACTTGTCCCGTATTGACATCTAGAGACAACAAAGGCTCATTATTTTAACTTTATTTCCATTTCTTTTCGGGCGTTTAGAATATTAAATTATGGGAAGCCAAAAAAAAAAAAAAAAAAAAAAAAAAAAAAAAAAAAAAAAAAAAAAAAAAAAAAAAAAAAAAAAAAAAGAGAAAAAGAATGAAATGAGAAACACACGAATCTGTATGATAATAGCTACTATATTATTTAATGCATAATTATAGATCAAAGCTAATTAGAGAAATTGGAAATGAACTTGAAGAATTAGGGTAATCGATAAATTGGGAAGAAATTGGAGAGGAAATAGGGTACAATTTTAATGTTTTTAAGCAAATGACCAATCGTGTAATCGTTAAAAAAAAATCAATAACTACTACGCTATGAAAATTAGTTAAATGAATATTTTGAAATTTACTCCAAACTTCAATGATCATTGTCATAAATAACCCTCATAAGCAACACAATAATATACAGTTATACTAGAGGTACAAAAAAAGTTTGATAAAATTTTTATAGAAGAACACTTGGCAATTTTTAATTGGTTTTGAACCTAACAATGGTAGAAAATGTATCATACTAATTCAAGAGTATACCGTTATTCGTATCCACATAAACTTTTGGAAAAAGCCGAAGAAACAAGGTCAATGATAGGCCTTCTTTAGGGACTGACTTGGCAGTTTTTTATTGGCACTTTTTTGTTTAATTATTTTTAACTACCAATGGGAATTTGCCAAATGTATGTTTGTTAAAAAAAAAAAAAAAAAAACCTTGTGATATTGCATTTAATTGAAAAGTTTCATTTATTTTTTTTAGGATAAAATGTTCAATTAACTTTAACTTGTTAAAAAAGAGTCAATCGACGAACTCAAGGTTAGTTAGCTCGCAAAAAAAATGAAGTTTGGGTCGAACTGAGCCTGTAAGTCGATAAACGATTCGACCCATTTATCACCTCTAATCCTAGTCGCTGCATTAACCACATTGAGACTTACTCCAAATTTCATTGACTATGTGACATAATTAATCCTAATAGGGTCAAAGATCGTAATACAATTCGAGGTATTTTTTTTTTTACATATTCTATGATTCTGCGGTTGATTGAAATAGAAGTAATAATTGCACACGGTTTCATAAACGTACAAGGAAATTGCCTTGTTCTCTCTTTCTCGCCTCTTTGGCATTCTTGCTGTCTAACTATAGATTCACAATCCTTCAAGATCCAGAACAGCAAGAAAACCCCAAATTTCTGATCATCTGATTTTCCTTTTAAAGGTGCACTTCTTTTTTCGATTGATTTCTTGGATGCCTTTGAAGCCTACGAATGAACTTAAAAAATTCGTTTTCGGATTATACATGATTGATTGTTGAACAGAGATTACTTCGAAGAAATGGTTTTATGAATTTAACCAATTAGTAAATCTCATCAACTGTGGTTTTAGGTAGACACGGAAATAATATATCTTTTTATTTTTTATTTTTAATGATGTTGTTCTGTTAGAATTTTGTTGAGTGCTTTTAATTTGTAAGTATTCTGCTGTAAAATGGAATTTTCTTGGTCAAATAGTTGGTATTCCATACTTTTTGACCTTTTTTGTTTCTGATCCATGGCTGTCGTTTACTTTGATTCAAACTTGATATGCTGTGGACTTAGCTGCCATTTTTTCTTTCTATTTCCTTTCATTTTTCATTAAGCTATGAATATTCATTTTTTGTATTGATTGTAGGTTTGATGTCAATCTGTTCATAAAGTTGTTATTATTATTAATTGTATATTTCTAATACAAGAATAAATGATCCAATGAATCTTCATTATCAGCCCTCAAGGTATTTTGAATTTTTCGTGCATTATTTCAGGTTTGAATTTATCATCCATAAATCGTAAAATATTCAGCGTGAAAGCTTCAGATTGATAAATGGCTTTGGCACTAACTCATCTGTCATGGTGGCGGTGGAGTGGGAAGGAAAAGGAACCTGAAATCTCTGATGGGTCCTCATTGAATTCCTCGCATGAATCGGATTTGTGGGAAATGGACACATTGAAGTTCCCGTTATTTCATGGAAAAGCTATAGGTTCCACATCTGGACGGGTTAAGAAAAAATGGCACAGTCGAGAGGAGCGAAGAATTGACAGGGAATATGATGTTGTTCTTGTGCCATCAGATGGTGGATGTCTTTCGGGATCTGATTCTGATGGTTCAGATTGGTCAGTTGGATGGTTGGAGCCCCATGGCCCTGGCTTTCAAAGTGATGATAATTTTGATGATTGTTTTGCTGTGTTGGTTCCTTGTTATGGTCATGGTCGAAAGGATCTGGTAGATAACTCCAAGGAAGTGTTTAATGGCACAATTGGGAACATCTTGGATATACATGCTGCCGGTAAGAATCAAACTCTGAAAATCCAATTCCCATTACTTCAAGCTTAATACTAATATTTGTTTTAACTCTTTTCTGCTCTTGTGGTTTGATCACAATTGATGCACCTGTTGGATTTTATTTGAGTTCTTATTCATTGGCATCAGATTGGTAACATAATTATTATGATCATATTATTGGTTTTCAAGTCTCATGGGTAGGGAAATCAAATCATTCAGTCTATGGTGGCTACTGATAAATTAGAAAATGCGACAGTGAATTGCATATAAACTGAAGCAGAGGAAATAATCTGGTGTACAATATTTGGATGCTCATGACTTGGATATCTGCATTACTTTCTGTTGAATGGTCCATATTTTGTTTCTTGTCTGGCATAAAATGTTAAACGGAAAAATCAGATGTAAGAAACAAAGGAGACGCCTTTGTCAAACGGTATATTCTTGATAAAAGATTCCATGAATGATAAGCTGATGAAGGAGGCCAAGAGTTAAAGAAGGTTGAAATTTTCAATATAGAACCTTGAATGTGGAGCATAAAAGCAGTACAAAGAGATCAATAAGCTCCTTGAGTTTACCAAATTTGTTCTACTAGAGTGAACAATGAAAAAGTGTAAGGAAATGAACAGGAGAATCTTGTAGAGGAGGAAGAGAAGGAACACAACCCAATAAGGGTGAGACAAAGAGAGGGGAAAAGTGAAGGGTTGTGATAAGGTTCTAACTGGAGAAATTAAGAACAAACGCATTTTTATTGATTTCTAGATGCAATTACAGGAAAATGTAAAGTAAACAGATATACTAGACTCTCTTCTACCACTTAACTCATGCCCGCCTCTCCTTTCCTTTCCTTTCCCCCTCTATTTATATTTATTGCTTAATGGATTAGTTCCCTCCAATCTAAGAAACGGGTTGGCTGGCTGACTAACTAATAGTAGCATAGCGTCCAAGCAAACCCCATGACCTATCTTCCCCACTATCAATTTTTGCATTTGGAACTCATCGACACCTTTCGTCTCTGCATGAATCTGCCCTAGTTTGGAGAAATAAGAGCCCATAGTTTCTTTAGGTGGCCTTACTGCTATGTTCCTATATTCAATTAGTTGTGGGGCTAATAGTGTTTTATTTAACTTTTGGGCTAGGTTATCCTGAGCTGCTTTTAAAATCAGATTGAGTTCCTCATGCACTGGGCCACTTCCATTAGTTACCTCAACCCTTTTGGGCATAGTAACTCGATTTTAGCCCTTATATTTGGCTTTAGTCTATTGATAAAAATCCCTTCTAGTACTTTGTCTGTCATCCCCAACACCGGTGCAGCTAGTACTTCAAACGGTCGTCGAACTTAAGCCATCCTATTTCACCGCCAAAAATTTCTTGCGAAGATTGTCTTCCTGGGTTGGCTAGAAATGCACTAAAAGTACTGGGGATGACAGACAAAGTACTAGAAGGGGTTGACAGACAAAGTACTAGAAGGAATTTTTATCAATGGACTAAAGCCAAATATAAGGGCTGAAATCAAGTTGCTAAGCCCAAAAGGGTTGGGCCAACTAATGGAAGTGGCTCAATGCATAAAGGAACTCAATCTGATTTTAAAAGCAACCTAGGATAACCTAGCCTAAAAGTTAAATAAAACATTGTCAGTCCCACAACTAATTAAAGATAGGAACACAGCAGTAAAGCCACCTAAAGAAATTGTGGGCTCCCAATTCTCCAAACTGGGTAAGATTCGTGCAGAGACGAAGGGGACGATGAGTTCCAAATGCGAACATTGATGGTGGGGATGACAGGTTATGGGGTTTGCTTGGGCTCTATACTACTAGTAGTTAGTCAGCCAGTCAACCCCGTCACTTGGATTGAACTATTCCTTTTCTGCATCAGCTTCAGCATGGATTCATATCAAAGATATTGTAGTTGAATCTCACTTCCACTTTGAGGACAAGGTGTCTTTGGAAACTGGGGGTAATGATAGGCCTCCATTTCTAGAAGAGCCAGGGAGAATTGAGAGGAATATACATCAACAGAATTCTGTTATGGCAAGTGGGAGGGAAAATTAGTTAGAAAGATCTATAAATAGAGAGGCAACCTGTAGGGCAGAGGGAAGGAATTAAGTGAGTGAAAATGAAGTTTAGGAGAGTGTAGTCCTCTCGAATGACTATATGTTATTTCCTTTCTTGATGTAATTTCTTTTAATTCAATAAATATATTGTTCCTCCTTTGATTCTTACAGAATCCTGCCTTTTATAGTTAGGCCTTATCAAATGGTATTAGAGCACGTTGATCTGCTGGCCCAGATGAAGATAGAAAGTAAAGTGGAAATCATGGAAAAGGGGATGAAAAAATTGAAAGTAGAGATGCAATACCTTCCCAAATTGGAAAAATCTGCGGAACGCCTTACACAGAATATGGCCAAGATGATGCAGACAGTAGAGGCAACCCAGAAAATTGTGGCATCAATAATTCACCCTGACGATGCCTATATTCATTTGAAAGCAGCATTCAGTAGCAAGGTTGAGGGAGAGGGATCCGAATGCCTTACAAAAGAATGGACTCCAACGAATCCATTCCGGACTGACCACTGGACAAATTTTTTGGTAGGTACTACAAACTTGGACCCTTTCTGTCTAGACTCTGTTATTTCTTTTTTGAGTTCCAGTTTTGTTTCAACTTCTTTGCTCTCCTTAATTTGCTGCTTTCTTATGAGGTTAAGTACGGGAACAAGATAAAGAGCCAGAAGGGGGAAACAATAATAGTGGTTTTCTAATTAACTTGTGTGAACATTCTTTCATAACCTCTTGGTTTAATCAAATAACTTTTTACCTGTAAATAAAATCTTTATTTAGCCGGATACTTTATGTCATGCAAGTTCACTATAGCAAGAATTCCAGGGATGTCACTGATACTTCTTCTTTCATGGGAGTATGCTTAAGTGTCTATCTCAAATGTTAGTTTTTATATATGTGTCAGATAAAAAATGGATGCCACATGATATTCCTTCTTTCTCATATAACACTAATGCTTTTTCTTTTTTAGTAACTTCGTGTAAAATTTTAGTTACCATCACTAACGCTGCTTCAGAATCAAGTTTGTTCACAACTGTTTCAGAGTCAAATTTCAAAAAGTATGCATAAAGTACATCGGCCTCGAATTGGAAGCGCTTAAATTTCTAATTTACTTCATCTGGAGCATAAATTCTTTAGAGATAATATACAAGTATTAAAAAGCCACTGGATTAAGTTTCTAACTAAGCAGAAAAGCTAATTGATGTGCAAAATGTTATCGTAGGAAATTTGTGACCAGTTATAAGAGACAGGATTTACCAGATTCTTGGGCTACCGCTAGTTGTCACTGGAAATATTGTTTCCCGAATTGTGATAGGAAGAGGGTGTTCATTGTCTGATGTGACAGCATATTGACATAATTTCTCACTTTCTTCCGTTACACTAGGAACTGTAGATATAGTTGTAGATATTCAAATGAATCAGATTTTAGTTCTTTATTATGGTGGATAGAATGTGCATATGATTCAGTAGTAGGTACTCTTAACTATTGTTTAATTTGTTTAGTTAAAAAATTTGGGTTCTGCATCATGGGTATCTTTTCCTTCACTTCTGTTATTTCAACTTTCTGCCTTGAGAGCAGCACCAGTTTTCTCTTTCTTTTCAAGTGGTGTACATTTTGCGTTTCATGACTATTACAGTTTGTCAACTGTAGTTTCCGAATGTGCTAAAAATGCTCTTAATTTTTATGTGTGATGCTGGTGTTTAGAGTTTTATAACCCTTTCAAATATAAGAATAAATAGTACTAGTTAGTAGTTTGTGTTTTGATTCAGTTTAAGTATTAGTTTGGTCAGTTTTGTGGTTATATTAATTTTATCATTTCAAGATTATTTTGGAGTTTACAATTGCTGATTATTCTTGTATTTTGATTTTTGTCCAATTATGTTCTTGAAGCAAATTCATGAGTCCAGTAGAACTATTCTTGAATTTTTAGTTCCTTGTTGAATTAGGAGGCTTCTTGGAGCCTATAATTACGTATTCTTCATATTTAATAAAGATCACTTTAAATATTCTCCCAGAGATCTGTTAGCCTTTCTTCGATGGAATCCATTGTCAAGTGTGATGTCTGAAAGGATATTAGGAATGATTCTAGGCTATTCACCCTTTTCTCTTATTCTGCGATTTTCATCTGTCCATAACTTTATTCTGATGTATATTCTTTTTCCTGGTAGTTAAGAATTCAAACACAACCTGTATTTCCTTTAGAGAGCTTGTTAAAGAATTCCAAAAATAAAACTACTTTTTAACCTAAATAAAACGAAAAATTCCTACCCATTTTAGACCTAATCTGCATATGTTGAGAGTAATCCGTTTCATGCCATAATAAAAACTACTAAAAACTCTTGATTCAGAAACCGTTCTTAATATACGGAGAAAAAAGGATCAGAAAATTTTGAATAAGTTAATCCACATTTGAAATAAAAATAAAAATGTGGAGAAGAACAATTTTGTGTTTAGTAGAATTTTGATCCATATTGCCAATTAATATCGACAAAATATTTAATATTCATCTGTAAAAACCAATTGAATCATACTCAAAAATAAATATATTAAGTGGGGGTAATTTTTTCATTTTTATGTTAACTGATAATAAACCTGTCTAGAGTTAGCATCATGGCAGTTAGCTTAAAACCAACTTAAAAGAACAATAAATTGTTTGCAAGTTCTTGAACAACTACGTGGTTTTCAGCACATCTCAAGAACCATGAGGAAATTTTCACATTCAACTAGTTCTTTTATCAAGATGTCACATAATAAGCCATTTTTTATAAACTCGGTGCCTTGGTGGAAGCTAACTAGAATTTCGAAATTTTAGAGTTGACTTTGGGCCTGTTTGGCATGTCTTTGGAAAAGTTAGAAGCTGCTTTCGGGACTAAGAAGCTGTTTTTGGACTCATTTTAAATAATTTCATGAAAGTGTTTTGTCTAATTAGAAAAGCTTTTAAGAAAGGTAGCTCAATGTGACTTCCTTCAGAATCTCATCTACAAAAAGAAGCAGCAGAACTTATCCTAAACAGGTCTTTATCATCTTGCTTCTTTATGCTATTGCTAAAAATGAGTGTCTTCTTCGTACATGCCTCTGGTTGTAAACTCCATACATGCCATTTTTTATTCAGTTACGTTTCAGATACCTTTTCTAATTGCTTGGTAGCTTCCATCTATTTAAGTGAACATCGCATAATCTTAAATATTCTTGATCCATTATGATATATTTCATGATTTTTCAATCTTGTTTGCAGAGAACAAGAAGTACATGGAGCAGTGGGTCTCTACTCTTCAGAACAACTGACATTTGAAAACACCCTTGTATGGGCTTTGATCTTCTGATCCTGCTACGTTCTAATTCGGATTCATCGTGTTTATAGTTATCCGTATCTCTTAAACTTGAAAAAAGAAAAAAAAATTAAAAATTAAAAGAAAAGAAAATAAGCAAAATATTAAAAAGATCAACTTATGAGTAGCAATATTATGATATCGTATAATGTGGCCACGAGAAAGGAATGGCTAGTCAGGGTATTTGCTAATTTGATCTCAGTTTTCGGAATGATAGGAGCTATGTGTTTTATATTGCTGGAAAAGCAGAAGAAATTTGAAAATGCCAAAAAAATAAAAAATAAAAAATAAAAAAAATTGATGACTGTTAAAGTCACGGTGTACTCCTATCAGTCATAGTGTAAAAATGTCTGTACATATGCAAAATGTGCTTCTTGTCTTTGTAAATACATTATTTCACAGGGAAAAAAATATTGTCATTGTAAGGAATTGGATGCTATGTACTTGGAATTTGTGTTCTGTATATAATATTTTGTTTTGTAACTTCTTTCGTTCTTTATTTGCTTTTTTGTTTTATTTGTTCATTTATTTGAACGTAAATTTGTCTTTTCAGTTTAAAGTCACGGTGTACTCCTATCAGTCATAGTGTAAAAATGTCTGTACATATGCAAAATGTGCTTCTTGTCTTTGTAAATACATTATTTCACAGGGAAAAAAATATTGTCATTGTAAGGAATTGGATGCTATGTACTTGGAATTTGTGTTCTGTATATAATATTTTGTTTTGTAACTTCTTTCGTTCTTTATTTGCTTTTTTGTTTTATTTGTTCATTTATTTGAACGTAAATTTGTCTTTTCAGTTCCACTTTAACGAGTTTTATTAATGCAAAGTTGAAGAGCTTACCTCAAAGAAAAATACATTGGTGAAAGAAGTGCAAGTAGATATAGAGGTAGAAGACGACTTGTGTAGTATATCATGACGTTCTTTTGAGCTTCTATACTTCGATTAAAAGTTGTCAATTGTTACATTTAGTGATTGTTTGGTAAAGTCATTATTTAATAAAAATTGGTCAAACTTTATTTTTAACACCACCCCATTTTATCCTTTTTTCCATGTTGAAAGTATTTTGACCCACTCAACTTTGATCGGAGGTGCATTTAGGTCACTCATCTTCTATTTGATACAATCAAACCACCCAACTTCGATTTCTTTATAGATTTAGCCATTGTTTGATGGCCATTATTTGGAAAAAATAATGTTTTGAATAGTAATTTTTAGGAGAATATGTAGTTAAAAAGTATGGAAAAATTTTAGATTTACGTGCAAAATATTTTATTGTGTGAATGTGTAGCTGAAAAATGAGTATTTAGAAAAAAAAAAAAAGTATTCAAATAATGGTTGACAAACAGGGGCTTAGTTACCTATCTTTAATTCAGTGCAATCAGCTCATTTAACATCCATTTGCTTGTAGTCTATCACTTTGTTCAATACTGTCAGTTTAACTATTAAAACATGTTGACCTCCTTGTTTAAAAATAATGAATAGTTAACATAATAATGTGCTTTAAGTTTATATGGTATTTTTAAGAAAATAATTTAGGATTATTGATATGCATTGTTGTGTGATGTGGACGCATATTGCAGTCTTAAGAAAATGTGCTTTAGCATTTTTGTTTATTTTTCACAGTGAAAGCTTCTTAGATTTAACATTATCTGATTTCATTCTCTATTGTGTCTTCTTGTTCAGAACTCCCAACTGATCTTTCATGGATTTAGGCAGGGGCGAATCCAGGACTGCAACTCAGCTAGGGCGGCCGTTGATCGTTGACTGTCGATAGTCAATGGTTGTATAGCGATATCGTTTATTAATATTAAATTAAATAATATTAAAAATTTTTCGATCTGTATGTAAATATACTAAAACGTAAAAATCGTATATTTATATCATATTATATTTCAACACAATCTGAAATAATATAAATTACATGATACATAAGACTTCTTTGTGCTATCAATGCTTAACAAATCATTTGCTTGATTAAAAGTAGTTGAGAGCTTAGATACACCACTATAAGAACTAGATTGAAATTCAGTTGAAAAAATCATTCTATAATTAGTATGAGAATTGAACGTTAATTAAAGATTAAACGTAATTAGAATTAATTTTAAAATATAATTAAAGTTTCAATTTCCAATTCTCAACACCAATTCATCACAAATTATAAATTCCCCAATTTCTCATTTTCAATTTTTATGAATCACATATTCACAATACCTAAATTAATTTTTAATATCACAATTCACAGTAAACAAATTCTCAAATAACATATAAATTAAAATTCAATACTCATAAGTCATATCTTATAAATTATTGAAGCATAAAATATTTAAAACGAAAAAAAAAAAAAAAAAAACTCTGCTAAAGTCTTAACATATATTATTTTGTTAAATTTAAATTCAAAATTCAACCATTGCCATGATGGGTAAGCTTCCAATTATCATAATTTTAGAAGTTATAGGTTTGAATCCTTTCCTTAGGAAATTAATTTTGATAAATATTGTAGAAATAAAAAATTTTCACTATGAAATGGAGGAGAAGGAATCGAACCCAAGACTCACAATATATATAAGGAAGTTCTAACCAACTAAGCTGAAGAGATGTTTGAAAATAAAATGAACTACTAGTTATATAACCTAAAATTTATGTCTATAATTTAAAAAAAAAAAAAACTCACCGGCTAATCCAGCTAGGGTGGCCGCCCTAGCTGGCGGCATACTAAATCCGCCACTGGCTTGCCCTATGGGTGACAACAACTTTGGATGATGATGGTGGTGATTTGACTGTGGAGGAGAAGGTGGTGATTTTGGATGATGGTGGTGGCGATTTAAGTGTTGGAATTAATTGAATATAATTGGGTTAAAATATTAATGTAATATTTAATGATGTGGGCCGTTGCAATTAATTTGGGTGAATTGGAAAAGTTTTCAATATAGGCCCATATGTTGATAAGCCCATTTTAAGTGTTTTATATATGGAAAGAAATCTCACATCGAAAGTTTACAAGAAAATAATATTGTTTATATAGTGGGGTGTGTGAATAATATATAATTTAATAAGTTACCTACCACTTGACTAACTTTAGCTAGCCAAAGACTAGTCACCACTAGAGTGGTGTGACCGCTCCCTGGACTCGGTTTCGGCACGCACACGTCGCAAAATACGCATTGAGCGCTTTAGAGGTGCACTTGGCACGTACGCATCGTCGCGAGGAGCTGGGGAGCCTTATAGTTTTCAGAAATGGACTCGTGGTTCGATTACGTGGCAGCGCAAGGCTCGGTGAGTTGGCATTCTAGGTGGCGTACACGTGGTAGGTCGCGTCCCTTCGTCCTGCGTGCCAGTTAGATGTACCCATGGCTGTGATTGTTTAGAAATTGGTGAATAGGCATGATGAATGGAGACTTCACTTCATGGTTCAATCTGAGCCGTCAGATCATGAAAATAGTGCGATCCAATGGCTAAGATGAATCAGACCAAGTGGTGCACCAGTTCCTGAAATGTCATACACCTGTTGCATGAGACACTTCAATCTCTATAAATAGAGACCCCCATATTCGTTTTAAAAAAAAAACACACAAAATCAATTACGAATTCAATTGATTTCTAAATTCTTTTATCTCCATATTCTACTCTAAAAATTCTCTTATATTTTCGTGGTTATTCCGTTCGAGTACGGTCATTCATTGGTTCGACCAACAAGGTTGGTATTGTGCAGTATCGACTTTGGAATGAGCGTTGTATCTTGGGAGACAGACGTCCATAATCCGTTTGCACTTCATTGGGGGGCGAAATCTATCTTAAGGAGATTTGCTTTGGCATACCTCGCTTCATCTACTGTTTTCTATTTTTCTGCTTAATTTATTTGTTCTTTTCATTGCGTTAGTCAAATTTCCGACAACAATGAGTTGGTGACCCGAACTGCCGTAGGAGGCATAATTGTTGTGGGCTTGCCCTATGGGTGACAGCAACTTTGGATGATGATGGTGGTGATTTGACTGTGGAGGAGAAGGTGGTGATTTTGGTGATGGTGGTGGCGATTTGAGTTGGTGGCTCGAACTGCCGTAGGAGGCATAATTGCTATGGGCTTGCCCTCGATAGGTGTTGGCGATCACGGTAGGAGTGCAAGTCGTGGTTGGGGTGCTGTCTTTAGGTTGTGTTGGTTTTGTATAAACACGATTTGTGATCAATAGATTAGGTTAATTTGTGACCAATAAAATAGATAATTTGTATTATTAATGGAATAATCTGTCATCTGCGCACAATGACTTGTAACATGTGAATTGATAACATGTCACATGTCTTTGTGCACTTATTACAGATCACAGATCAATGTCCATAGATCACGGATCACTAATTTATATTCATAGGTCAATCTAAATTAATCACTGGTCATAGTTCACAAGTTACAAGTCACCATTCATAAGTCACATGTCATATTGTATATTATAAATATGTACAAGTCATGGGTTGGGTCAATATTAATTGGTTACGGATTATAGTTGGCAATCACATTGTATAGGTCACAGATGTTCACAAGTCACAAGTTATAGTTTTTAGGTCAATATTAATTGGTCACATGTTGTAGTTCATAGGTCATATTTCGTATTGTATAAATCACAGGTTACAGTTCACAGGTCAATATTAAAATCACAAGTTATAATTCATAGGTCACATCTTATAGTTCACAGGTCACACATGTCACATAGGTCAGCATTCATGGGTCATATGTCATATTGTATAGGTCACTGATATTCACATGTTACAAGTTATAGTTCATAGGTCAATATTTATTGGTCACAAGAATAGTTCACAGATCACAAGTCACCATTCATAGGTAATAGATCAATGTCTATAGGTCACAAATTCAAGAGAAATGATTACAGGCTATTGGAACACTATCATAGGTAACAAATCAATGTCCACAAGTCATGGATCCAAGAGAACTGGCAATTAGCCATTGGATCAACATCGCTAGTAACAATTCACATGTAATTTAAATTGAAGTTCATTTAGATAGTCTTCCAATTCTCTTCGATGTTCTGGTAAATTAAGGCCTTGTTAAGTAATGCTTAGGAGAATTGATTTTTTAATCGTTAAAAAAAAAAGTGGGTTCCACCCATGAGAGAAGAAAAATGACGGCTGGAATAATAAAACAACGGTAAAAAAAGGTCAAAAAATTGATTTTTTTTTTGGGTGAAAAATCAATACCATACATATACTAAAAATCTAAACAAGTCATTACCCTTGAGATGTTTTGCTCATGGACCTCGAATGAGCATGAGAGAAGATGGAAGCCGCCACCTTCATATCTAATTTGAAGACCTTCTCCATCAATTTAATACAACAACTCTGCAATGTTAGCTACCACCTTCAAAAATTCTGATATGTTGTGATGGTAACTTTCAATTTGTGATCTCAAATGTTTGATTATTGTCAATCAACCAACTACCGAAGATGGTAATCGAGAAACTAATAGATC